AGCACCTACCCTACGAACGAATACCGCGTGTTGAGCGGCACGAGCATGGCGACTCCCTATATCAGCGGTGTTGCCGCGTTGTGGGTGGGCAAGTTCGGCGGTCGGGCCGCGCACAAGGATGATCCGGAATGGGCGCACCGCCTTATCGCGCGCATTACGTCGACTGCGCACGCCGTACCATGGGCTGACTGGGCGACTACCTCGACTGACTATGGTTTCTGGGCGCCAACGACACAAGTCGGTGGAGGATTTGTTGATGCGCAAAAGGTTCTTGGGTACACTACCGAGCTCAGCTTCGACGGCCGCAAGTTCGAGCTCAATGATACAGCCCACTTCAAGGGCACGCACACGGTGGAGATCACGAATCGTGGCACAGAGACTGTTACGTACAAGTTCTCGGTGCAGGATGCTGGTGGATACACGGCATACACCCCCTCTGTACCAGGGCAAACTCAGTTTGCGGTTCCTGGGATTCCTCTTTACGCGGACCTTGATCCTTTCAAGCTTACACCCGAGGTTTCTCTGCCCCAGGAGATTACTATCGCAGCTGGAGAGACCAAGTCAACAGAGTATGATCTCATCCTCACAATATGCCACCATGAGACGACAGCTGACGAGGAATAATAGGTTCACATTTAGCGTCCCTGAGGGAGCAGATGCCAAGAAGTTGCCAGTGTACAGTGGCAAGATTCTTGTCAGCGGTAGTAACGGAGAGGAACTTGGTATTCCTTACTTCGGTCAGTTTATTTCTCCACAGGTGCCTGATCTTCTTAAACTAATGAAACTGTAGGCGTTGCCTCCGACTTAAAGGAGACGATTGAAAACGTCTGGGACTACGGATGGAACAATCCTTATCTCACCTCTGGCGTGAATGCAATCAAGCTCGAACAAAAGTCAAAGTAAGTTGCCAAACAGCAACGGACGTCTACATCTGGTACGGGAGCTGACATACATCTGCTAGCTTCACCTTCAACCTCACCCGAGAAGCACAAGACTTCCCTAAATTATTCACTCGATTTGTTTGGGGAACCAAGGAGTTCCGCTGGGACGTAAGTCAAGATCATGTCCGTAGCTAGTATGGGAATGTCGAGCTAATGATTTGCACAGATTTTCTCAGGTAATTACAGCGAAGCCCAATGGTCATACCCTCCTGTTGTTGGTCAGAAGGGTTTCGTCGGCTCAGCAACCGCTTGGAACGGAACTGCCAACTCAGCTTGGTTTATTCCAGGTGAAGATAACGAGGACGACATTTTCTCCCTTCCTCTCTACTCGCAACCTCGTGCAAGGGGAGGTATTTACTACTGGCTCGGGCGATTCGCCGACGGTTCACACATCCAGCCTGGATCATACAAGTAAGAGCCTATTCTTAGTCGATGGCATACCTATTCCTTTGTTATCACATAATCCTAATTCTTGTCACACAGGTTCCGTATTGCTGCCTTGAGGCCCTTTGGAGAGCCCGAGGTTGCAGAAGACTGGGACGTTTGGCAGACGCCCGCCATTACTGTGCTGCCTCTTTAGGCCACATGTGCCTCTGCCGAACATCTGGAGCTTCACCCTTTAACAGTGATTGCGATTGTACGGGTTCTGGGAGCTTTAACATCAAAGAAATCAATTCTTTAAACTTCAAACCTGATATCATCAAAAAGATTCCTTCGACTCTGCTACCGAGGAAGGATCTGCTTCCCCGACCATAAGCATCGGTTACATCAATCTTGAGTCTCCATGCTGATTTGCCGCTTCTTTTAGACGTGACGTGCGATGATGAAGTTGTGCTTCAAAAGTCTTCGAGTTTATGCACCTCATATGGCGGCACCTCGTATGGGTGCGTCCTGCAGCCTTTGTCAGCATCCAGTGCGCCCTTGAATCGCCCGTGGCTGGGCTCAAGTACCTTTTCAAGGCAGAAACTGCCTCTCTCGTAACATCGCGCCCGACGCAAAGGATCTCGACCTTGTATTCAGGCACCTGCGCGAGTTGATCGATGTTACCGGTGTGAGGGGTAGCTCCCGCAGCAGAGACAGGTATGAACTGGCATGTGCCTGGGCTCTCGAAAGCGACATGAATGTATTTGCCGTTATCGTAGGTACCGCCACCAGCTTCAAAGATGGCTGCTTTAGTGGCATCTAAATGAGAATCTGAGCATACGTGGCGATGTCAGCAACAGCCATATTCTTGAAGTATTTTAGGCCTTAAGGCTCTACTCACGTGGCACGGAGTATGCAAGCTTGTAGCGATCCGCCATTATTGAGAAAATTTCGTATATCGGTATACTGGCGGGTGGAAAGCGTGGTAACTTTTCAAGCTGGAGATGGAATTGGAACGATGATGGAGCTGGGTATCAAGATGATATTCGTGACAAACCCTCCCTTTTCTGTTGAGAACTGACTAATTTTCGGTCGTAACTATCTTGTGTGAAATTTTCATTACCCGGGAGCTACCGGAACATCCTTATCTCAACAAATTTGTTGAAAATTCTGAAGCGTGTCCCCGAACCCCTATGGGAAAGTGAAGCCATATTCTGACCCCTATGGGAAAGTTCAGGCGATGTAGTTCACGGATAGCGGGGCATAGCTGTGTGGGGTAGTTTTCAACCTGCGTACTATGCCGAATTAGTTGACGACGCCCCAGTAAGAGGATGCTTGACTCGGCTGTGCCGACCTCGGCGGCGCTGAAGACTACATAAAGCGCTCCTTTCATTGGATCAAATGCTGCTCTAAGTGGGACAATTGCCGGAAACACAGTTACCCTTATCTACTGGCTCCTTGCGAGTGGAAGCTGGGTGCTCGAGACAAGAACCTTCTGAGCGTGTACTTCTGAGCGTGTGGCGGGCTTATCTGTAGCGGTGGGCCTCCATTCATTGGAAAATGCTACTGAAATGGCTCTGCACTCGCGGACCATCGAAGGTACTTAAGTACGAGGTAGTATGCTCACCTCAGTCTTGAAACGGATCTCGTAAGTCACCTATAATTGATTTCCTCTCCTCGGCTCGTTTCTCATACGCAACACACACTCCTTGACAATAGATCATTAACTCTTGCTTCTAGCCTCTTGCAGCAACTCAGAAGAGAAGGCCATCAGGAGACAAAATAGCAAGAGGCAGAATGGAAACGTTGCCGCATAACCTCCCATGCCCGTCCGGTGCCTCAGTCAAGGTGTCCGTCCTCAATAACTGTTCCCTTCGCGGAGTGCCTACAGCGCCTTATGTTGAGCCTATCATACCTGGGCATGAAACATTCAACGACCTTCCATGTCTCGTCTTCCTGATCGAGAGTTCTACCGGCAGGAAAGTCCTCTTCGACCTCGGTCTACGAAAGGACTGGCACAAACTCAGCCCGGTTTCGCTATCAGAGATCCAGAACGACGAGATTGAAATCAAACTGAAAGAGGACATCGTTGATATTCTGAAACGCGAGAGAATCGCTCCAGGCGACATAGAGGCTGTGGTATTGAGGTGTGTATCCCTAATAACTTCCTATGTGCCTGATTCGGTACTTCTTTCTGTTCCCGCCAAGGACATCCTAATATGAGCTGAATATAGTCACCATCATTGGGATCATGTCGGAGATCTCAGTTTGTTTCCCGATACTACACGAGTTGTCGTTGGCCCGGGGTTCGTAGATGCTTTCCGTTTAGGTTATCCCGACGATGATCTGGCGCCACTGCTAGCCAGCGATCTGAGGTGAGTTGATGTATAACATGTCCAAAAGGTACTTAAAACGTATTGAGAGCTGAGAATGGTCAATATAGTGGGAAATCAGTGGACGAGGTCAACTTTGAAAAGGCCAGCTGTGTCCCTCTTGGTCCGTTCACAGCTTTCGATTACTTCGGTGACGGCTCGTTCTACATCGTTGATGCTCCTGGACACAGCATCGGCCATGTTGGAGCGCTAGCCCGGACAACAAGCAACCCGGACACATTCGTCTTCATGGGTGCCGACTCGTGCCATCACTGTGGAGAGTTCCGACCTTCTGCACGCCGCAAAACCCCGAGCGACTTTCGTCTTGGCTCGCCGACTTCAGGACCATCTTCCCCTTGTCGTGGGCTGACGTCTGATGATCACAAAGGTCCTCAGGGTGGGCTTTGTGGAGCTCCATTCTATACAATTACGCGAGACCCTCGATATGCCGAGTACACTCATGATCACGGAGCTGCGGATGCAACGATTGCCAAGGTGCAAGGGATGGACGGGTACGACAATGTGTTTGTTACCATGGCACACGATGATTCTATTCCCGAGATAGTCGACATGTTTCCAAAGACCATCAACGAATGGAAGTCAAAGGGTTGGCATGAGAAGGGTCGATGGGCGTTCTTGAAGGACTTCAACGGCTTGGCTGACGTGACGCGAGGAAGTTAAGCACAGATCTGCTGGAATTTCCCCAGGGGAAGAGCACAAGTCAACCTAAGCAGAGTTTTAAAGATCGCTACCTTAGTCGGCGGGAACAGCTTGAGTATGATACGGAAACCACGTTCGATGCGCAACGTAGTCGATGAAGTTGGCCAGATTACCATCCATTCTGAAATCATCCACTACAACTCTTTAATCAAATGACTATGTCTCGCACATCTTGTGGTACAAACCCTCAGCTGAGAATATTCCCTAGTGTGTTTCCATCTCCTGAAGGGGGCCCCTGGGCCCTGTGTAATACGTAGATCAAATCGGCGACCTTAGTAGTACCAAGACCCTCTAGATGGGCTTAGCCATAGCAATAGTGGTCCTGTCAATCCGCTATGCAGCATCAGCCAGCGCAGCGTGGACCTCTCTGTATCAAGGACACTGGTAGTCTCGTCGAGGAGCAAGATCGTAGTGTCGCGGATCAGAGCACGTGCAGTTGCAATTTATTGATGTTGGCCGCCAGAGAGCTGGGCACCTTGATTCCATCAGGTGTGGCGAGCCCTCATGGGAGGGAGTAGACAAAATCGCTTTCCTGACCCATTACGATTCATCAGTGTTGAGTCTATGATGAGTGGTTGGGAAGCTCGATCGATGGAGTCAGTTTATGCGCGGGAAAGTCGACAATCAGTGGAGAGAAGTCATCTACACAAAGCGTGTTGATACGAAGACCTTCCCTCTTACCAACGGGATCTTCTCTGGCACCATCTCGTATAACCTGAGCCAAGCCGACGCTGCCCTGGATGCGTTCTGTGAGATCCAAACTGGAGCGCTGCTCGACGACTCACAGCTCATGGTCACCTGCATGGAGATGGTCATCCCCGCAATCAACCTCACTACCATTGACCTCAACTCTTTCACTGGCAAAGTCAACTTCACAAGTTCTTATCCCACAGCACTTCAACATCTGATTGATGTGGGCCCCATTGCAACAAACTTTTCTCGCAACACTCTCACCGCCGAGGCATCCAAGGCCGTGACACCCGAGTTTTTGGCAGTTTATACCCAGCGGTTAGTAGTAGATCTAATCTCTTTATTAGAAAGATGCTTACGTGTACACTTTCTGCAGTATTGGTCGCGGCATTATCAACGTGAAGGCGGACCAGGAGCTCTACAAGGAGGTCTCTGAACTATTCTTCTCTCACTACGCATCTTCGACTCTTGCTGACCACATCATCGGCTTTTCTTGGAACCCCGTCACTCCTCACGCTGTACAAGAGTCTAATAGAAAGGGCGGCAACACAGGTGGCTGGTAGGAGGTCAACCAGAACTGTAAGTGCAACTACACTTTTGACAATGGCGGGCCTTGTCTATTACGCAAATAGTGAACTAGTCAACCAGTCGCAGCGCTCAACCTGAGAACGAGCTGGGGTAACGCCGACGATGATGCGGCGGCCCTTCATATGGACGCTGACTTCTTGGCCAAGGCCACAGAGCTGGCTCGGAAGCGCGATGCTCTGATGCCGAATCAGTGGATGAACAACGCTGCCGAGACCGCCGATGTCATCAGCACTTACGGAGAGGAGAACGTCAAGAAGATGAAGGCTGTCTCACAGAAGTACGACAAGGAGGGAACTTTTCAACATCTTGTGCCTGGCGGTTACAAGCTAGGCGCCTAAAATAATCTGCCAGAGGTTGAACGACATTAGCTTCATATCTCATGTAAACAATTCATCAACGTTCTGGACTTATCGATCTATTTCGAATTATGAATAAAGAATGATTAACATGTCAGTCAAGTACTGAGAGTTCTCAGCCACCTACAGAACGCACAGACTCTGCAATGCACCATCGACGCCGCCAATCCACAAACATCTCCACTGAGCCTCACATCGTCACCAACCACAACAAAACTCACAATGTCTTCACAAAAAGATCAAAAACATACAACACCAGGTATTCGCTGGTCGTCACCGATCCAACTACTAATCCGGCCCTCATTGGCTTATCTATGGGAGAGCGGACGGGATCCCGAGTTTTCCAATGGGTATGGTCGTATGTGGTGGTTCGGCAAGGAGAGACAACCTGAGACGTGAGTCCAAAGCGCGAACTTGGTCTAGGGTCCGATCCCGTTCACCTTTAGAGATCAGAACTAAGGATATCAATGGATCAAGTCACCAGACTAGGCGCGGTTCTCGCCTTTATATGGACCTTTTTGGAGGTCGATGAATCTCAGAGAGCTGTCTTGACTTGGCTCAACATACCTAGCTCAATCTTGACGTCTAGGAAGAAAACTCATCCCTGTGATACTCATGAAGTATTCCATCAGGCCTATAGATTTCTGATCATATCCCATGGATGACTCCATGGTCTGAGTGAATGGTCAAATAAAAACGACTTGAGGCTTTTGCTCTAATAGCCCATCCTCATCTCGTGTTAACACAGAATGCTACAAACGAATCTTCAATGATCAACCATTACGTTTTCCCAAGCGAGGCTTGTTTGGGTGTTCTAAAATGTGCATAACTCCATCGTGCCTACGATGTGAAAGTCGATGCCCATTTCACTTCATGATCATCCATACTTGAAAGTTCACCGCAATAACAACCGCCAGATAGGTAGGTACCCACCCTCCACTCCACAACCGATCAGAACCAAAAGTAGAGCATTAGTGTAGAAGCCTAGAGTTACATCATGTAACTCTCACAACCAGATTTCACTAGAGAAAAGGCATATCGACAGGGATGTAAACGAAGAGAAGGGAAGTACATTAAAAACCCCGGCGAATGCAATCGATCACTTGGCTACGCATACGTAGTATCCAAGCCATAGGCTGGTACACGTGGATCCCACACTGGGGTTCCAACTGGTGAAGTCGGAAAGAGTGACGCCGTACTGCTTGGTGATGGCGTCGCATGTGTTGTCGCTGTCGATCAGGTGCCATTTCTTGCAGCCGCAGATAGCGGACGGCTGCGTGGGCGTAGGCGCGGATGGGTTGCAGGTTTCGGCGGGAGGGGCCGGGGCGGCGGTCGTGCTGGTAGTGGTTAGGGTGTCCGTGACAGCTGATTCAGTCGTGTGAACTTGTGTGAAAGAGTCGTTGTTTAGAGAGATGGACTTACCAATGCAGTAGTAGTAACCGAGCCAGAGTCCTGAGCATGTGTTGCCCACTGCCGGGTTCCAGCCGTAGAACTGGTTCAGGTCAAAGGTACCGTACTTGTTGACGATGCCCTAGCACGTGTCGCCGGAGACGGCCTGATGATCACGCTGGCAGTTGACGTCGATGCCGTCCTGTGTCGGCGAGGGCCCCACGGGGGTGGAAGTAGTGGGAAGTGCGGCCGAGGCCGTTGTGGTGGTCAGCTTAGTAGGGGTTCCTAGCACGCCGACGCAGTAGTAGGTGTTTGCCTAGAGGCTACCGCAGGAGGCGCCAACAGCCGGGTTCCACTTGTAGAAGTCGGCGAAGGTGAAGGTGCTGCCGTAGGCGGAGACGATCTTGTCGCAGGTGTCGCCGCTGACGGCGAAATAGAAGGCAGTGCAGTCCTCGGCGAGGCCCTCCTGCGTGGGAGAGGGCTTGGAGGGCCCGGTGGTGGTCACGGGCACGGCGGCGGTGGTGGTCGCGGGCAAGGTTGCCGTGACTCTTGTTGTTGGACGGGGGAGACCGTAGTTGACCTCCACCCAGTAGGAGTTTCCGACGACGATGCCGGAGCAGTCGGCGCCGACGCTGGGGTTCTGTAGTTTGCTGTCATCGGTTGGTGGTCATTGGCGTCTAAGGTAGGGGAAACTTACATAGTCCAGGAAGTCAGGAGCCGAGAGACCCCATTCGATCTGGAAAAAGTCGCAGTTGTAGGACCTGTCGACGGCGGTGTCGTAGTAGGTGCAGTCTGAGGCGGTCCCCGGAGCGACGGGGCCGGTCTGCCGGCGGACGTGGGCGGGGTGGCGGCGTGAAGTCCGCGCGGCAGCGGCGGTGGCCAGGGAGGCGATAGCAAAGGAAACAAGTGTGGAACGCATCTTTGTCCCAACGACTTCCAACAGGACGACTTCCAACACAACCGCATGGTCTCATTTCCCCTCCAGGCATCGGCTGCCATACCAATCTACTGATTCTAGTGTACAACCCCATCGGCCAAGCCTTGTCCGACTCACAATCCCATCCAACACCCCTACATATACATCAGTCACAGTCAGACACACACACACCATGGTTATCTCCAAACTACCCGCAATCCTCAAAATTTGTTTCCGCCCCCCGGCGGGCACCTCTTGGACCGCCGGAGGCGATGTGAGTGAATTCTACGGCAGCTGGAGCTTCACCATCTACCGCACCGCCTACGGCCCGGGCACCGACGCGCAGTGGCGTACCCTCCTCGACAAGATCCGGGCCCAAGACGTTTTCGAGATAGAATGTTACCTCGAGGCCGGCGAGGAGGACGTCGCCGCACAGCTCAAGTCCCTCTTCGTCCTCGACGCCCGCTCCGACGCCGCTCTGCTTGCGAACAAAACTATGGAGGAGGTGCGCGAGATTTACAAACAGGCGGTGGTGGCCAGTCGCAGGTCCGCCGCTGGCCGTGACACCCTTAACAGCAAGTCGCTGAGCCGATCGCTGCCCCTCATGCACGACAGCCTCAACCAACGCGCGTTACTCCTTGCTGACGCCGAGGTGCTAGAGGGCGTCGGCCGGGACCCCTACTTCTGGGTCAAGTGCGTCGAAGCTGATTTGGCCAAGGAGAACAGCGCCCCCGCGGCCCACGGGGGAAGTCATAGAGCAGCAGTCGGGCCTTGGTCTGGTTGGATGAAGATGACGACCCGCAGCGTGGTTGATTTGTGTGCCGAGATGCCGGTGCGTGATCTGGCCAGTATTGCGCCTGGTGCGAGGGCCGCGGACGAGATGCCTATGTACAACGGCGAGCTGACCGGGTCGTCGCTGACGAGCAAGATGTCGAGCGGCAATTGAGGCGATAGAAGAGGGGGCATGAGGATCCTAGACAATGGGAGGTTTGGGGAGGAAAAGTATGAATCATGGGACGGACTCAGATGGCTGTTTTGCACCGTCGACGTTCACCTATTGCACGGCTTGCATCAACTCGCCATTCCCGACCATCGACTGCCACGAGTACATGCGGACAATGACAAGCCTCGGCTAGAGGGTTTCTTTGGGCAACGTCCCCTTCACCAACGAGATGTGTACCACCGATTGCTCTTCATCGCTGTCGACTTGGTACAAGTCCGCGGTGAGAGACGGGCAGCGCCGGCAAGGAACTTGACGGATCTGCCCCCCAAATGATGTGATGATACGGTGGGCGGGAAATAACGAGACCTGCATCAAGAATCCCAAGACCAAGAGCTACTGCAACGGTGACTGCTAATCCGGGGGAAAGAAAGTTAAAGCAACAAGTCCTTAGTTGTCTTGCGTCCTTCGGATCCCGTCAGTAAGATGTTGTCGATAGTTTGGAAAGCTCTTGATGTGCGTAATAATGAGCTTGACTTAAGTCTGCTGTCGTGTCCTGGCTCAATTAACAGTGTCAGCTGGGCATCAAAGGTTATCTTGAACTCAGGATCGAGAAACTCTGGACTAAGATTCCCTGACTTGTTCTCGAAAGTTTCAGACCCGACCTGGGACCGACGGACAAGGTGTTACGGGTCCCGAATCTGTTGCTGTGGCGTGGTAACTTTGAACTCTTAGGCTTCAGAGATCCTGTAAACACGGGCTTTATGTAGTCGCGCAAGCTGGTGGGAAAGGAAAGCAGCGAGCTCAGCTTGCCCTGTATTAGGCTACTCTACTTAAGAGCGCAACTGGCCAGTTTTGAGAGGCTTTATCTACACGTGACTCGGGCTACGATTACAAGCTTTCGATCAACGCTGAATCTACAATCTACAATGCTTACACTTGAAGATTTACCACCGACGCACACCATGCTGTCCGGCTTGAGACTGCGGCACCCAGCGCCTCGTAGGACCTGCCTTATATGTTTCACATTTAAACGCCATTGATCTGCTCCTTGACTCGTTCCGCGTCCTTCGACGGAAGCTGGGCAAGCAAAGCCTTGAGCTTCTCGCACGCCGCATGGATCTGCGGAGCCATATCCCAGCTCGGGACCTGCTGTTTCATCGACGATTCGGAGTCACGGTCGTCGTCGGTACGGGGAAATGCTAGTAAGGCGCCGATCCAGTCCAGACGAGCCTGGGAAAGCCACTTTGTGGTTTTGGGCTGGGCAGTCCAGAGCAGGGAGTTCTGAAAATCGAGGTATGTGGTAAGAAGCCAGTCAAAATCCTGATCCGGATGCGGGATGGGGCGGCAGAGCTTGTTCTTAGTTTCATCATCGCTGTAAGCTGTCTCGACATGGGCGATGAAGGCTGCGCTGAAGACCTGTTGGCATTTACGGACAGGCTGCAAAGTGATCAAATTTCCGTTGAAAACAGGGACTGCTTCACGCTTCTCCAGTCCGTCCGCCGTACAGTCGACAAAGAGGGTGTTTAGCTGCGGCTGGTAGCTGAACCCATTGTCGAACTTCACCTCGTTACCGATGCTGACGACTCGGCCCTGGCGGACAATGTTCGTGATCTTCTTGAGCTGCTCGAGCTCGGCCACAGACACGGAGGCACAACGGAACATGGTTGGCCAGACGTCGTCGCTGATGCGCATGAGATGTCCCTTTTCTTCCAGCCGTTTCAACAGATCGCTCACAGATGCGGCCATCATGATGGCCTCCATCTGCGCGGGAAAACAACTGAGGGTCCTCGTGGCAAAGTCGGCGCCTGGCTGACTCTCGCTGCGGTCAAAAAGCCACGAGTCTCGTGGCATGATCCATGTTAACTTCGAGGCGTCGACTCCTCGCGAAAGTAACCATAGGCAAGTGTCGATGCCCGTCTTGCCGGCGCCGACGATGGTAAAGTTGGCGAAGGGCTGCGAAATCCTCGATAGTGAGTTTGGCGTCACAAAAGAGACGTCGGAAGCCACCTGGTACGATGGAGGACCCATAGATGGCACCTTCACGCGCATGTACGTGGAGTCCACAATCCGGGTGAAATCGCTAGTTAAGTGGAAACTCTTGCCCGATATCATGGAGACGAATTTGCCGCCGCTTTGATAATTGCAGTTGGGGAAGTACTGGACTCGTCCAGACGGTAGGAAGCGTTGGTTCAAAACCTGATCGTAGTATGCCAAGACCTCATCGCTGGTAGCCAGTTCATGTAGGCCTTTGTTCCAGCCGACTTGGTCGATGAATCCACTGCCCAACTTCTTTGAGTTGACTCCATAGAAGGCGGAGGGCTGGTGTAGCCTCACAAAAGGGTAGGCCGTGGTCCAGTGACCTCCGGGGCGGCTATAGCGATCGACGAGGGCCACAGTAGCTTTGGTGTCCGAGAGCAAGGTATCAACGAAGGCCATTCCCATTCCGCCTGCGCCGACGACGAGGTAGTCTACTTTGATAGGTTCCGCCATGATTTTGGGTTGAGGGTTAATACTGGGAAGTAAAGGCGTCCTGCCAAAGTAGTTGCAATGAGTCTGCTGTAGATGTGCTTTTCTGAGTTGCGCCCTTCCATTCTCGTCGCCCTGAAGCGTCGATTGATTACTCTGTATATAATTAGAATCCTGTGGAGTTGTGGGTGAATTCCGTTGCCAGTCAGGTGCGTTCGGAAGTTACCCACATTCTTGACTAAACTTAGGAGGTCACATAGCTGATGTGTACTACAGGATAAATGTCTTGACGTAGCACTTACCCGCCGTCCGAAACCCCCGCGACGGACATGGTAGTATCTCGGAACACAGCTCTCGGTCCCGTGAAGGCGGACAATATATCTACAGGGGTTCCATAAGTTAAGGTAGACATTGCCTCGCAAATCACCCCTGTTTTTCCTCGTGACGGCTACTTGTACACTATTTAACATGATTGCTCTGATCATTGTTTCGAATCTAGAGGTAGCATGAATGATGAAAGTGGCACTGGGAGGAAATCTTGCCTGGGAGATCTGCAGGATGTAAGTCAGCTCCGGATCCCGAACCTGAATACCGGCCTGACGACGCCGGGCCATTTATACATTAGTAGGGTTTCGGTCGGCCGCCTGGTCGTGCCAGGGCTCCCAAACCACTCCCCATGATTTCCAATGTCGCCGCAGCTGAATGTTTGATGCTGTCCACCCACAACCGTCGCTCCCTGGGTCTTCTTCATACGATGCACATCTGATGCAACGCGAGTAATCGCCTCGCTCTGACCTCCGTTCGGTCACAATTATCGAACAATCGCGGATTGCCCTGCTTTCACTGCCCCACTGGCTAACTCGTCCACTCGGAACCAGGCCGACTCCCTTGCAGATTGCGACCGCGAGCAAATCCAAGTAACCTCCAGACCTTGCTCTTGCAGACATCCGATAAGTGGACTTTGAGCCATTTTGATGAGAAGACAGTGAAACAAAGCGGTGTAGTGCACACCCAGCATTGAATCCGCAAATGTCTCTGCAAATGTCTACTAGGGCTTGCCGTACCGGAGTGATGATTATTCATCCCACCGAGGTTCATAACCGCTTTTTTGGCCGCCTGTGAATCATCTTCGTTTGATTCTGGAGCAGGGCCGCCCGTGCCCCGTCCCGCTACCTTCTCCAGCCCGTCTGCCGACCCCTTCTCTATGTTCCAACATCTAGAAGCCTTCCTAGTTCCCCCGGACGTTGGCGATTTCGAGCCATGCCATCTCGTGATCTCCTTGCTCCAAGTGTCGTGGCTCAGAGGGCAGAGCTTGACAGTGAAAAGGACAACAGTCTTTGTGCCGACCGTGTTCCGACCTCAAATAAATGCCGCGTCTGCAACAAGACCTTTACTCGCTTAGCACACCTTCAGCGGCATCTCGCCTCACACGGAGGCACCAAGCAATGGGTGTGCGAATTTTGCGGTACCTCGTTTGGCCGCCGGTAAGCCAAGTCATCGTGACATATTCTTTTACTCCCTCTCCCTCTTACGTTCAAGCTGTTCAATCAAGCCACAAACTAAAGCGAACTCCAAGAGACGTTCTGAACCGGCATCTTACCACCTGCAGCCGGGCCGTTCCGGGAGCCCGTTCCGCCGTTCGCCCCCTGAACCGAGCCTGCAATCCATGTAGGGATCGCAAGACTAGATGCGATGGACAACAGCCTTGCAGCCGGTGCTCTCAAACCCCTTCAAGGTGCATCTTTGCGCATCGTCGGATGCTTCGGCATGCTACGGATGACGCTGCTCAGTCGAGGGTCCAGGATAACGGCTCTCTATCAGCATGCTCAAGCAGCGAGGCATCAGCAAGTTCCCCAGCTTCTGATCAGCTGTTGACTTCTAGAGAGACATCCGCATCTGTCGGGCAGACGAGCGCGGGCTCTGCCCCTTCCTCTGCCTCTGTCTCCGCCCCGTTTTCAGCGCAAAGCCCGGGCCCGGCAAGCAATGGCCAAGGCACCCTCTTTTCTCTCATCTTGCCTATGGATGACATGTCTGAACAACATTGGATACCAACCATTGACCCATTCGCCGCGACGGACGAGCCGTTCGACGTACTTTCTACCTTTTCATGGACAACGGGTGGGCCAGAAATGCTTTGGACGGCCCCCGGCGAGGTCACACTCGGCCCAAACGTGACGGTGAACGAACCTCCTATCGACAGCGTTGCTGCTACAAGCCCCCATGATGAGTTGGCATCTATGGACCCGCGACGGGTATCTGTCGATCCGGGTCTCGCCCCTCTCGGACTAAGTCTCCTTATCTCGAAGCCGTCACTCGAGATGCCCTGAAGTTATGTCACGTAACAGGGATAGTAACCGCATCTCACGAAGTGCCCGTAACGTGCTGAAACACGTGTCTATCTCAGACATCGTGTATATAGACCTTTTCCTTTTATCTATTTCTACTTTAATATATTAAGCCACTTTTACCACACTCCGTATGCCCATTGCTGCGTGCCATAACTCGTGACAAGTTACAACAGTGACGCCTTTCCACTTAGACTCCTATGATTGAAGATCTCATCATGAAGGAATAGTTAATCATTACAATCATCAAGTAAAGAATCCAACGCTCGTTTGTCTAGTTACCGTAGTGGCTATCTCCAAGACGCTTCGGATATTTGGAAGGAGAAATACCCACGAAGTCTCATCAAATTGTGTATATCCAGCTCACGAAGACGCTAATGCAACAGCTGAAGCACCACTCCCCGTTTGCAGAGCACGCAATTCTTCGTCAGATCGGCGCAGTGCCGACTTGGGTGGCATGTCCACCCAGGCCTCCTCATACCCAGTCGACCGCGCATAAAGTGCACCAGGAGCCTCAAGGGCGTCCACAACCATATGCTGAATCTTTCTCCACACATCATCACCTTTCAGTTGGTTCCAGGCCTTGTCCTCGTAAGACTTGAGTAGCTCGTGGCAAAGCGCTGTTGCCCTCGCCTGCTTGATGCCATGCCCGTCGTCACCAAAGTCTTGCAATCGGTTACCGATCGCTGGATATATGTCAGTGTTCAATCCAAATTAAAAGATTCATGAACTTGCCTCTGATTGAGGTTTCACCTGGAACCTTAGGTTCATACGATGTGATAAGTCCTACATCTATCGGGGTTCGTCCTCGGGCTGTGTATTCAATCAGGTCCATGCGGATCTTCCACTCAAGAAGGCGCCTCTTGTCCTCGCGTGAAAGCCATGGTTGAGACAGCGTCGTCAGGTAAAACACTGCAGAGTTTACATGGTGCCTAGGAAACGTCAGATCTTGTCGACCCACTGCTACTAGAGGAATAACTTACATGAGGAAGAAGTCGTATTTGACGTGCTTAGTCGGGTGAATAGCCGCACTAGAAGCGACAAGAATGATGGCGTGGAACATCTCCGCCGTCCTTTCCTCTAGCTCGTCATCCAAGACACGCACTTTGCGCAGAATCTCAAGCATTGGCTCCTTAGCTCTCTGTAGAATTCCATCCCTGATCTTGCTATCATCTTGGAATCGCGCAGCACCTTTCAAAGCAGACGACGTCCGCACTTCCTCGAACAAATCAAGGATGGTTGGCATCCGCGTGTGTTGCGCGCTCTGCTCAATGGCGGCTTCGCTCGGCAGCAGAAGGTCGTCAAGCGAACTAGTCCCGTGAACCGCAGTCTGTGCAAGACCCTCTGCGACAATCGTAGGCTGCTTCCATTCAAGACCATGCATGAGCTGTATCAGAGAGTGTAGAACACCGCCGTGCAGGCGAAGAAGCATGTTGTTAGAGGCAGCGTCGCGCTTGAGCAGTGTTTCACGAACGACCTGTTCGTAACCGTCGGCTTCAATCTTACGCTGGAAGTATGCGAGGAAATCCGGGTAATATTCATCCTTCCCAAGATACTTGTGTGCGGAGCTCCAGTCAGCCAGGAGTTCGGAGACAACCTCATCATGGCGAGGCTCGACGGGGCGTTGAAGGTCGTGGCGCAGGTCGAATGCCTTCTGGATTTGAACCTCGTTGGCTCCGGTGCCGTAGAGCGCGAGAATATGGTGAAGCATCTGGTTGAGCTGTTAGAATCTTCGCCTCCCTTCTTTCTGTCCGGGCCCGACTAACGTGGTCATGGAAACCGGATCGGTTGAGAAAGACATGATGAAGCTGGTGAAGATGAGTTAGCAGTTGATCGAACTCTTCTTTCGGGTCTGGATAGTTCCCCCTCTTACATTCAAGTCTTTCTCTAGTAGCTCGCTAGTTCGCTTTGCTGCCTCATCGCTCTGCCGGACTGCCCAAAGACCTGTGTTCTCGGGAGTTATGACGATGCGGGTAGAAGTTGGGCTGGTAGACATTGTCAAGTGATGTTATCGTAATACAATCAAGTTCAATGCAGGGTTAGGTTGAATCACGCGTGCGCTCTAAATAGAGTCTAGAAATGAGCGAGTTTAGCAATGAGTGACGACCTGACTGCTTACAAATGTATTCAAGACTAAGATCAGGGCATCTATCGGCACCCACTCGGTGAATGCAATGAGTCACCAGCGATCTCGAACGGGGTATCGGAGGCTTAATTCAGTTTTCTAAATCGAATTATCTCGCATTTCCTGTCTCTCCGTTTGTTTGATCGATGATCTTCTCGAGCAGATTCAATTGAAGCCAAACAATATTGTAGTTTCCAACTCTCGCGCTTTGTTCGTCTCACAAGATGCCCCGCCTTGATCCCCGGGTGTGGGACCCAATAAGCACGTTGATTATGTGATCAGTAATTCGAAACAGCCAACTGGTCCAGGCTACCTAAGTATTGCCTCTGAGTTGGAAAGCTGTTCGCGAATAGCCGACGGCTTCAGTTGGGACCTTCGCCTTTGCCCCGATCCTGTCGGCGACATACTGTCAACACAAGGATGGCATAGATTCTACCCTTCACTGAGTTGATCTTTCGGTCGCTTGCCCCAAGTTCGACCCTCGATCGTTGTCATCGCCCTCGGTGAAACCGCTCTCGTACTTGTACGTCTTCCTGTTAATATGACTGCATAATATCAGGCAAAATCAGTAGTCAGCATTTGTTTGAATGCGATAAGTGAATAGCCAATACGGCATTCAGTGATTTCTTGGTTAAGTAGATTTTTATACAGAAGACAAGAGCATGCCTGTCACCGGCCTCGGGTAGCTAGGAAAGTCTAATTGTACACATATTTGGTAGATGTCTCAATAATTTACATAAGGCAAGTCAGTATGTAAGACTGAGCCATTGAAATGGTTCCTAAGATCCCCAAGACTCAACCTTGGCACCTCCAGGCACCAGCTTTGTGAAGACAAGGTTCGGGTCATACTTCGCCCTGATTTCCTTCATCTTCTGCCAGTTTCCCTCACCATAGCCAGGAAAGACATCATTGCTCTGGGTCTTCTGCGCGGCGCTGAGGAAAACAAAAGGAAGAAGATCGGAACCGGCAGCGCGAATATTCTTTTTGATGTCCTCGTTCGCTTTCTGGTGAGCATCGAAGACCGTCTTATCGTCCTCGGCGTCGGGCCATGAAGCGCTCTCGACCAACCACATCTGAGGCTGGTATTCCTGGCCTGGAGTCACGAGAGGGTTCCCGCCGTTGTCCTCACTCTTCTCTAGAAGACTCTTGGTGATGGGCATGATGGCCAGGGCTGTGAAAAAGCCCGAAATGTTGTCAAGCTCGGCGATACCGTTGAAGTACGAGTCGACGAAAATATTAAAGAGATCAGCATCTGCGGGTATAGAGACTGAGTGCCACAGCTGCCTCCTGCCAGCATCAGAGGCATAATCGACGGCGTTAGACCATTTGCCCATTGTCTGGCGGACTACTTCTCCTCCAGTGACCGGAAGAACTGGTGCCGTCAAATTAATCAGGCCGGGAGCAGTGAAGTTCTGAGGGCCGGCTTGAAGCTCTTCTCCACTGTGGAAGATGAAGGCGTCAAAAGTCTTTTGCGGGCTAGTCGAAGGGCTCCAGCGAATCTGGCCCTCCACGGCAGTCTTGGGGTCAAAGTCTGCGTAATGCGCAAAGTCCACCATACTTTTCAAGTACTCTGTCTGAATTTCTGTTCCATAGGACACGGAGCCGATGTCAATAGCAGAAACATTGAGGGTACGGAGGTCGGCCCTTGTCACGATGCAGAAGTTATTTCCACCACCTCGCAGCGCCCAGAAGAGATCCGAGTTCTCCGTGAGGCTGGCCTCGACAATATTTCCATTTGCAAGTACACACTTTGGGAAGTCAGCTTCTAAATTCTTATCAGATTTGAAGGTAGGGGTGGTACCTGGAAAGCCTGAACTTCGGTAGACACAGAGCCATGCTCGTAAGAGAAGAATCCGATTCCGCCACCGAGTAGCAGGCCAACGACACCAACATTCCCAAGACGAATGCCGTCGACGGTCCGATTGAAGTTGTCGAGGTAAGCATAGAACTGTGGCCAGCGGATACCAGGTCCCACCGACACCAGGCTATGGTCATCATTGATATCCATCATAGTCATGTTCGTGCTGGATATCAGGATGCCTTCTGGACCAATGTTTGCCGCATTATCGACAGTCATGCCGCCACCGGCTCTGACTGCAAACGGTACGTTTGCTCGGGTGAACAGCTTTACCGCAATCGAGACGTCTTCCGCAGAGGACGGGGCAAATACGCAAGCGGGCCCAAGCCATGCGGTGGATGTCCACGAGTCTAGAGTCGAGTGTAAGCATAATACTACCAGCGTCTGAGTCGAAGTGGTTCTTACAGGTGTTTTCAAAGTCATATCGACTTGTGCCCGGAAGAATCGTGGAATCAGAGTACAGCTTGCTCAAGGTATTGCAGACATCTTGGGTCGACGCTGGTTGAGCATTTACTGTCCCGACATCTGCTAGAAACGGCAAAAAAAAAGAAAGAAGCATCGTGTTATCAGGAGCGAGATTTTCTGTAGGGATTGAAAGTTTCAGTCGAGGCTATTGTCCTTCCAAACCAACTTCTGGCATCGCGAGTTGCCTTCCATATTTATACAGTTCACCGGCCCTGGTGATGCCTATAATGTGGTTACTATTTTGAAATTAACGAAAGTATAATAAACATGCATGAACCAGCCTCAATATCCAAAAGTCTTGGTATTTCTATCTCTGCAGTGGTTAGTATGAAGCTAGCATTGTACTCTATAGTCATGTAGAAACGTTACGAACCCGATCGCTACCAGCGGTTCATCGGATTTGAGAGCGTGCGTTGAGATCCCGGATCTAAGCTCCACAGATCTCCATTTCAACCATACAAAGCTGCGCCGATGTGCGCATATGAAGTGACTTGTTCTGGTGTAGTTCTCCCGCATGGTCGCAATGTCGGTTGCGCATTCGCATTGCGGACTCCGTTGCGAACAACAAAGGTGAGATTCCGCGGACTTGGCATCGGGTTGAACCCGAGCAAGGTCTGCGGAGTTACACGTCGAAATTGTATTTGATTCCGAACCCGCTATTACTTCCGATTTCGCATTAAGTCTTTATGACATATGCGCGGAGGTCCATTATCATGGTGCAGGTAATCGTGGACCTAGGATTTCCGGTTTTGACAGGTATGGCCCCATGCGAACCACTCATACTTATCCAACAGCACGAACTATCGACTTATTTATCCAGGGGAAATGAGTCAATCACCCAAGTCCCGGTTGCATATTCTCCCTGTACTGCTAACGAATAACCTATGTTAGGGAGGAAACCCCCCACTCAACGCCTTGATGCCTCCACCTCTTCCTCAGACATATCACAGAGCTCGTAGTATTTACTAACTAACTCGCTCAACTTTGGCTCCGAGGCTACGAATATCTTCACCTGCTTGCGCATGGCCATCGCTTCTTCTCCGACTTCAATTCCACTGGGAATACTGTCAGCCAAGAACCATGATTTCTCTTCGTTACCCTCGAAACAGATCTGTAGTGTGTAGTTGTTAGCCCAGTCGCTCATCCTCTACAATATGTCTGACCTGGCAGAGTTGTAAAGTATAGAGCAGATTCATTCAACATAATTCTGCCTCCCGCATGATGTCGTTCGAGGCGCACCATACTTCATACGGCTTTCTCCCGTTCGTTTCAATGAGTCGTGCAATGCCAAAAACTTCACAGAGAGTATCTGCAGCTTCGGTCTTTTGATCCGGTAATTCCGTGGGCGCAGTGAGAAACTTGGCAAAGATACTCCGGATTCTATCTTCATCGGCAGTCTGCACAAGCTGTCTAAGGCAGCACTGCGTCTCTTCAATGGGTACTTGGCGCCACATGAAGTCGGTCATAGTATGGCGGTACCTCCACTCTAGGGCATCAGCATGCGAAGGGACTTTCGTTCGTAGTGCGGTCTACTTCGGCATTTTAGGTCAGCGCTGGGAAATAACGTTTCATTATTGTCGTATCATTAATGATTTGTGGAGAAATTTTCTGCAGTCGGCAACAAGCTCTTACGATGATAAAATTTTGGAGCTCCTCGAGATGTTCGCACTGTTGTTCGGTGATACTTCCGTTTGTTGACGACATGGCCAACCTTGGAGCTCCGATCGGGACTTCGGACTTGAAATCAAGCTAAACTATGGTGGTAGAGTGTGTGACAAGAATCTGGGGGTGTGATGTGTGCCATTTCAAGCATACATCAAGCATTCTATTTATGCACGCACATGATGATTAAGCCTTAGTAGTGGCTGCTGACACGACAAAGATGCACGATGTTGAGCTGACGACCTTGACTTCTTGTAATCAAACCCCGCAGATCCTTCGCTCTCGTTGGGTCTTGACACCACTTGATTGGCGGCAGTGATCAAAGAAGGCAACTCAGCAAGGATGAAACCCACATGATTCGAAACACACAATCATGTGCCATGCATACATAAGTTCTTTTGTCAATCTCTTATTACTTCCTGGAATTACGAGCCTCGTTCTCAAAACCTACAATATCCCATGAAAACTATTCTCTCAAGTAATCAAACATCTTCGCCGTGACTTAACCCAATGTAAACCAACATAAGTAAGACATGAACGTAGAATGCTCTTCGGTCAAAGAAAGTCTTCTCGAGTTTCATCTCGACTGCCCTTAGTTTGGACGTGACTTTCCAATAGCAACCTTTTCATGCGACAACAGGAACAGAATGAGCCTATAAACAAGATGGGCCACTAGAGACGACTGGAAACACCTGAACGGCGGTTGGGAACAGGTGTATCCCGATAGGCTGGTGGCAGAATACCTGCGAGTTCAGCTTTGATCTGCAATGCCAAAGTCCGTGAATGCCATCGCTGAAGCCTCGTATCACCACCCATAACCCAGTAGTTGTCAAGCCGGGACTGCCGTTTCCACACTCCCCGAACCTCTCCTTCCGAATCGACACCCCAAGTTGCATCAAGTCGAGCGGCGATCTCTCGAGGTCCAAGGGTTCCGCTGTTTCCGTCTTGGTCTCCTCTTGACGGATTGTTAATGTCATTCGTTGTCGAGGCCCCCAGTATGTTTGCCGCTGTCGTACGCGCGTCTCGGTCAGCAAATCCCGTACACCACACCACGGCATCCGCATCAAGTGTGCTACCGTCAGAGAATTTGAGTCCAGTGGTAGTGAAGGCAACGGGCTCGACATTGGCTTTGACACCTGCTTTACCCTCGGCTATCAGCGCCGTGCCGCCCACATCGAGGTAGTGTCCTCCAGCCTTTTCAAACAAATTGACCATCAAGCAGCATTCGGGTGAGCGGCTGTCTAAGACGGGGAATCCGGCTTTGGCAAGGGCGGCATAGCGATCCGGCTCTTGAGAGGCAAGGTGGGAGAAGTGTCCCCGCACCATGTGAGCGTCGATGTTAGTGGGCATCGCCATAGAATCCTTATCTGCTTCCACGCCAAGCTTCTCGTAATTTCCATGCGCTGCAGGATCGCACACGTACGCGACTGGGAAGATGTAAGTCGGGGAGCGAACGACCATTGTAGTCGCCAGACCGGCAGCGTAGCAATCCTCGAGAATGTCAAACGCGGTGTTTGCTGAGCCTATGACCAGAGCAGACTAGGTGGGAGAATAGGGGTCAATCAAGTAATCTATCGCCGTCCGATTCGAAGCATTTGACTGACCTTGACACCAAGCATCTTCAAGTCTTTGGCGTTACGATAGGTAGTAGAGTGAACACTGACACCCCGATAAAGATCAGCATCAGCCATAGGCGGCATATGAGGCTTCTGCGATCCTATCCCTGTTGCTTGAACTATGTGCCTGGCCACCGCAACACGCTGACCGGTGGGTGACAAAAATGTCACTGTGTAGAGTTTTGAAGCCTGGCTGTATGTTGTCGAAATAATCTTGGTCGAGTTGAGAATGTTCAGATTGAATATTTCCACGTATCGCTTCACCTGATTTGCAAGTTCCTCTCTGGTGAGGAAGTGTGGAAATTGCTGCTCTTTTGCGTATTCTGACCAAATGGCTTAACGTTAGTATGATTCGAATACTCCGCGGCTCAAACTCAACACTTACCCAGGTACGCCATGGTGCATATTGCTGTTGGAATATGGAACTTCATTGCGTGGTAGCGAAGAGCCCAGTTGTCTCCCGGGGTGGGGTTCCGATCGAGCATGACGCTCTCGACGCCCAAAGCCTTCAGCCGAGCAGCGACTGTCACTGCGCTACATCATTTCAAGTACACGTACTCGTTAGCTAATGTGGATTCGTTGAAGGTATCGATATTCCGTTCGAGCTTACCTGTTGCCGCCACCGATTATAACCACATCGGTTTCGAACTGTTCGAGAATGCCCAGCTGCTTTGCAGGACCCCGCAACAAACTCAACTTTTCGGGATAGTGGACAAAGTCCTCAAGTCTGGTGCTCAATACCCAAATTTTCCAGCTCACTATCTCCTTATTCCCAGTTTGGCGCTTGTGGGGTAGAAGAATAATTTTGCCATGACAGTGGGCAGCTGGGGACGCTGTGCTGAATGTGAAATTACAGTCGATGAATTGCTTCGCGTCATGGACCAGTCAGTCTGTTCCCCAACGAATTGGCACGAATGAAGACTCACGAGGGTAGGAGTGACCGGCGCGAAACTCGCGACTCCATCAATTCCAATATCTGCTACTCCTCGGAGATTCTTTGTCTCCAAGAGGCTGCTTGCAATGACGCCCGCCCGTTGGAATGTTCGAAGGTGATACGTTAGTGCTAGCTGATCCTTCCAGTATGCCTGCTCCGCGAAGAAGCAGTCTTCCAGAGCAGTCGCATCATTGGCCTTCAGTGCTGATGTGAGCTTTTCGAAGAGATCGAGGGCGATGCTGGTAGTCTTGCTTCCGATCATGTTGGCAGGGTCTATCATCCCCTCGGGGATGATCGGAAGAGGTGTCTCGGCCATCATTGTACGTATATCCGCCTTGAGCGGGTATTCTTCATACACTTCAGCCATGATTTCTCTGCAGACTTTGTCAGCTTGACACAACCTTCACCTGGTCAAAAGAGAGGAGTGCTGAGACGCAAGATCTTGCCCCTAAGATTCTGTCCTGGTTGATGAAGCTTGGGACTGCCGCTAGCGAGTAGATGACCGGGTGGCATGAATGAGGGGAAGTGTCTCATTCTTAGCTTCGTGACTACCATCTCAAAATGGGCAGAGATTCGTCCGATCCTTCTTATTCCAACACGCCAACGGCCGTAGCCAATCGTGGCCGGCGAGTTTCCTGGCGGAATCGATGTCTCTCCGTGGCTGTCACACTAAGATATCACAGTGAGTAATAAAAAGAAGCAGCGACTGGAAGCGACCGGTGTTCGGTGTTCTTTGAAATCCTTCTTCTCCATGGCTTTAAGTGCTGTCTGTGCGGAGAAGAAGCCGCTCTTCGGCTAGACGTAGACTCCGAGACTTGTCCTTCCTCACCTTTCACAAGGCGTTGTGTACATACTCTTTTCATCCCTATTCTTGAATCAGACGCATCAGTCATCTGCAGCCGTTCACGCCTGAACTCTAGCTCCCCCGTAAACTCTCGTCTTCTGAACTGCGGAGGTAGTGTGTGGGGGTCTTGCGGTCACCGCGGTGTCCGTTCATCACGTTCATCCTACCATGGACATCTTCTGGATCATAGGAATCGCGTATCTTTGTTTTCAACATGCTTTGACTAAGTCGCCCTGTCCTTGAAATGAGCTACACACAATACTTTTGCAGTCTTCAATGAATGTCCTCGATCTTGACCGCGCTCAATTTAATCATGACCAAGCCTAATTGTGGGATTGACGCCTGACAAGTACACTCCGGCAGATTCCTCTGTGAGAGTTTAGACTCGGCAAATACATTATCAACATGATTCGAGATTACTTGACCATGCAGCGTGCCATGAGCTGGAAAGCCGCGACACCAAAAAAACCGGAAAACAGCTGGTAGAATGAGGATCCATCTCCAGCGAGCATGCAGGAAGCCGTTGGACGTGCTTGCGCTCTGGGTGTGAGGTGTTCACTGGTACCCGCAAGCTGGACTATCACTTCTTGACCTACATAACTCGTGATCAATACGGCCGATGCGATCTCATATCCGCAAAAAAAAAAAGAAAAGAAAAGAATATCAAAAGTCATCACTACCCGCTGTAGTGATTGAACCATGCGCAGGGACGGAGTTTGGCTCCGAATGGCAAGATTCCCGAAAGTTATGAATACAGACGTGCCATTGGGTGTCATCGCTGTTGGTTTTGTCGTTCTTGGCATAGCCACCATGGCTTTTGCGGCGGCTGAAACCTTTGAAGAAGTGTTCCATATAGAACGAGAGTGTTATCATAAGCTCCGAGATGAATCATGAATGACGAAGGGAACTAATGTGTAGAATGCGAGATAGTTGTATTTTTCAACACGTCGGGGTGAAACTCATGAAACTACAGGTCGATATCATGAGACACGCCACGGATGTCGTAAAGCACAAGTGAGCTATCCCTCCCTATCTCGCTAATCTCCATCCTGCATCATCTTTTTATTCCACTAGCCTGCCGTTGTCTGCCGATGACCCAAAACAGAGTCCGACGATAAGAAGCCAACTCCCATCTCTCCATCGCTCAGGCATGTCTCTTTTCTCAGTTGCGCAGTTATGAGAGATATTCGGTAGCAATAAGCTCAGGGTCGGATGGCCTTACAGTGTGAGCAGACTTGAGGGCGCTTGAAAGGGTGGCACAATCTCATATACAGGCGATTCTTCTTGAGAGTAAGCTCCATCACATAGCCACTGCGCTCAATCATCTTGCCGAAGAAGCGCACACCTCTCTTCTGAAAAGGCAACCACAAGGTCTGAAGATCGTCGGCGTGTTCCTCCTCCCACTCAGCTAGTTCAGGAAAAGCGGCATGATTGATGCGTCTGAGGGCTTTCTTGTGACTTGGGTCAGGGGTGGTCTTCGTATGAATGTCATGCCACTGGCCAACCACAATGGCAAGTTCAGTGAGACTCGGAAGTGCTGCGAGGACAGTAAGGGCCGCACCGAATTCGTGGCGAAGGGGAAGATGTATCCGACGGATGCAGTCAATAAGCGGTGGTGCCTGGGGCGTAGGTAGATGAAGAGACTGTCGAAGCGAGAGTGCAGCCAGTTGCATGTTTGCCTCGTCCTTGTCTGCCACAAGCGGAATGAAGCGATCGATATCAGGGAGAACCCAAGCGTCAATTGGAAGTCGTTCAGAAACGTAAGTACGGTAGATCTTGCCCATCGGATGACGAAGGAATTCTCGATGGACCAGCGACCGACTCATGCGATTGATTTGTGAGGGAAGCTGAAGTCTGCGAAAGCGGCCTCTGAGGTTGACCTTCTCGCGTCCGTTCTCGACGAAATCCTCAAGGAAGACGACTTTTGAAGGTGTTTCGTGAACGTAGGCGAGCCACCAGACGATGCCTTTGTCGGCTTCTTTGGCGTCGGCGATTAGGTGGTCGACGATGAGCAATATGATGTCCATAGACAGCACCACTGATCCCTCCTTTCCATCGCTGGTTGATCGGTTCGCCATGATGCGGAAGTCCCGAATGTATGGTTGCGAAATCTGCTGCCGAAGGTGTGTTCGTAGAGGTTCAATCGGTCAGGTTGCTGTCCAAGGTCGTCGTATGTGAGCTATTCAAGCGATTAAACGCTCATCGATTGATTTTCAGCTGGAGATCTCAGAGTCAGTAAATCTCATGAGGTACAGGCGCAAAGAATGAGCGTACTTTGTTCCAGCCCTCCGGTGATAAGGACCGCGAACCTTCTGGCGAAGTATCGAAACAGCTGAGATTGGCTATGCTTGGAAGAGAGGAAGACGAGAGAGAACAAAGAACGTAGACAAGGAATACAACTATTCTTTCTCGCTCTTTCCTCATTTTTCACTGGCTAGGTAGCTCCTACCTGAAAACACAAACTCTTTGAAACGGGAAGGCACAATTGCCAGAATACTGCTGCGTTTGCACAAGAGCGGTGATATCACGTCACATTATTGAGGTGGATAACAAAGAATCCAGCGGAATACCCAAGGACAGGAATGGTTTTGTTGGAACACTCACTCGTGCTCTTACCTTACTCAAGATAGGATATTTGTGCCTGTAGATACTCACCCTAAAGATACTAAGGTACCCTGTAGATACACGGATAGCTTTGATCAACACATCATACTTATCTTAAGATATAACTGGCCAGGAAGATGAGTGCCTACTATTCGAACCATATTCTTCATACGTCTCTAGCAATGTTCAATGGACGTCCGGTGCCCAAGGTGATATTGATTAGCTAAATAATCACCCTGAGTTGAGATTAGAATCCTTAAACATTGGCCGCCTGGCGCTGATAATTCATCATAGGTGTAAGATGGTCACAGTCTGTATCTACAGCACATACCTAAGCTCAAGTGCTGTCCTGAAGAAGATCAAGTTTTACCCCATCAATATGGCGAAGGCAGTTTATCTCCAAATTTGGCCCAAATTTCCCCTACCACTCGTTTTCTTAACCTACCTTAGGGATGTGGTCGGAGTAAAGATGAGCTTAACCCCTATTCGTTTTGATCTTCAACATTTGCTTCTGTCTTTACACTGTCGATGTCCCGTAGTTGATGGGATACCTAGCCATCCTCAAGACTCCAACAAAAACACGGTTGACGTCAACCTGTCAAAAGGGGCAGGACCCCCAGTTCCACGCTCAACAAAAATAGGGCATTCGATTGGTATAGAAAGAAGAAAAAATCTTGAAAGAACGGGATTTTAGTGATTGAGGAATACTATGTATTCAATACTGTCGGAAATCCACTTAGGCTAACCGGAGGTCATGAACGGAGCCCCGGGACTACCGAGGTTTGAGGAGTAGGAGCAGGAGAGATCATGGTTTCGGAGTTACAAATTGCGCATTCGGGTCCGAAGACAATAAACAATCCGCCGTCAACTAGACGATATTTACTCCATCTTGAGTGAGCATCTAGTTCTACAAGTCTCCGAAGATATTGTCCAGTCATCAAAGTGCATGTCACATTGTGAGCATATGACAATTAAAGTTATGGCAAGCGAATCGTGATGTGGGTACCAATTACACTCATTTAAGTGGGCGGCCAGACTTATCCCTGCCAACATTTACTTGCGCCGCCGTTGCATCAAGTCACTTGAAGCCTGTGCTGGGATAAGGTAGTCAAATGCTCTTCACAGGCAGATAGTCTTGGTTTCTTCATGACGAGAGACTTGATCGTGCTGCATTTACCTTCACTCAGGTGCTCAGGCACCAGCTTAAGGTGAGATCTGTATCGAAAGATGTAGGCAACATCACGTTAGGCAGCAAGTGTAACATCGAGGCAGTGCTTATTTTTAAGTCGCCCTTGTAAGACAATAATTCACACGCTAACACAACTTCGCCTAGGCACATCGACGTAATTGGCATTCCCAGCACGTTTGTCATTCGTTCAATGCTTCCAGGGGAGATTAACGGCCGACGGCGCAGCTCCGGCTCTCACTCAGGTGTCTCAAAAACATGAGAATTTCTCAACCAGGCGGTCCAGCCCTGCGAGCCCTGCGAACTCTTGCGCCGACTGCGCCCGGAATCCTCCCGCTATCATGGGATAAATGCAGCGAGTCGCCGCGGTCCCTTCGCCGCGAAGCTACGGGAAAACCAGTCTATAAGCTGACTGCATCCAAGATAAATCGCCGGTTTTTTTCTGGTTCCTTATAACATCCGAATTCGATTTGCCTTGCCTTGTCAAATATTTGCGTACACCCAAAACAACAACTCACGTCTTTCCACCAAACAAGATCACCCTTCCACCAAGATAAACTCCAATCTCCACAAAAATGCCTGCTGTCCAGCTCTCAGAAACAGCCAACAGCGCCATGCACCATTTCCTTTCGGCGCGCGACTTCGACGACGACTACAACGACGCGCGGAACAAGGCCAGAGCAATCGGGGGTGGCGTAATCGCAGCCATTGTTGTCGTTATCGTCCTTACCATTGCCGGCGTTATTTTCGCCATTATTAAATGCAGCCGCAGCAGGAAGAGACGGGCGCAAAACGAATTGGAGATGAAGAAGTACGTGGGCGGAGTTCCGGTCACCGATGCGGCAACGGCGGGCAACACGACCGTCCCGGCGCCCAGCGGGGGGGACATGAACGGATACGGGTTTAGCGGAGGATATGTTGCCAACGACGGAATTGCAGGCACCGGCAAGGATGCCCACAGCGCGTCGGATGCGATGCCCCCGGCGTACACTGCAAACAACGGCCCGACGGCGAACTAAATTCTTAACGAACGACAACGAAGACAACAGATAACAATAGAGGCTGGGATTGGAGATTATGACTACCTATAGACATAGCGTTTCGGAAGAGAGCGAACAATCGTTAGGGCATTTCTTTTGTGATTCGAGAGGAAAAATCGATCCCGGGTGTTCGATAGCAATAGCTCAAAGCGGGCTGGGAAGAAGTGGAGAGGGTAGTCGGAGGGGCGCATTTATCATGCTGGATCATGAATTTCAGAGGAAATATTCCATATCGCATCAGTCGTTTGTGCAAAGCCAAGATCAGAAGCATTGATTTTACTCATGATGAAAATACAGGTGTGAAGACAAATCTGGTAAATATGCACAAAGAAGTAGAAAGCCAAGTCGACGGATGCAAGCGTCTTCCTCATCCGCCAAGCTTGAACCTGGTGAGTGCTTCTCCAATGACCGTTGCATCGTCAAAGACTTAGTCGTAGTCTTAATGTCCAAGCTTGAAACCACCCCAGTTGAGCTTGCTGAACACCATGTTGGGGTCGTACTGAGCTCTGATATCCTTCATCTTCTGCAGGTTACCCTGTCCGTAAGCAGGGAAAGGCTTCTGCCACTCGCCCGCGTCGCCCATGTAGACGAACTCGGTCGCCAGTCCCAACTCTTGGTTGATCTCGTGGTGGTGGGCGAGGAAGTTCTGGGACCAAGCGGTCATGCGGAGGTCGTCCTCGGGGCGGGCCCAAGAGGTAGTGATTTGCCACCCTGAGATTCTCAGTCAGCCACTGTCGGTGATGAATTAATGTGGACGTGGGTGAGCAAACTTACAGACATAGGACTGGTCAGCATCCAGACCGAACGTGTTACCGATGCCGTTGTTCTTTCCAACAGCTAAAGCAGTCCTCGGGACCGTGTTCAAGATGAACGTAGGACGAACGCCTTCGATGTCGGCAATATCGGCGATAGCTTCAACCCAGGCCTGGTAAATCTCGTACAGGCGGTCGGCATCGGGAATGATCGTTTGGTGGCCGAACTGAATGCTAAACAGAAATGGTTAGCTTGTTTGCGATAGAGAAGGATTATGGTGAGGACCTTTCTTACCGGAACATCTGGTTGGGGGACAACATCTGGGAGTGCCAGTCAATGGGACGGGTAACATTGTGGCTGCGGGAAACGGCAGGAATAGCAGTGAAGTTGGCAAAGTGAGACGGCGGCGAGACAGTGGTCTCCTGCAGGCCAAAGACTTGCGGGACGACCTCCTTCGTCGTCACATTGTAGTTGATGTTGATGACGGCACCGGCACCCTCAGAGTTGTCGTCGCTGAGAGCGAAATCGGCAGCAGCCTTGATGAAGGCCTGTGTGGCAGACTCGTTAAAGATCTGGTAAGTGCTAGTCGCCAATGGTAGGTCCAAAGTCTTGAGAGAGAACTTGGTGACGATGCCGAAGTTGCTACCACCGCCCTTGAGAGCCCAGAAGAGGTCCGGGTTCGAAGTGTTGGTTGCGGAGACTTGGGTACCGTTGCCGAGGACGACGTCGTACTTGACCACGTTGTCCATGGAGAAGCCATATTTGTTGAGGAAGTAGCTTACACCGCCGATCAGGGTCAGGCCGGGGACGCCGATGGTCTTCAGACGGCCGCCGATAGCGTACTTGCCGTACGGCGCCAGGGCGGAGTAGACGTCGACCCATTTATTGCCGGGACCGACGTCGACGGTGTTCTCGTCATTGTTGACTGTGACTGTATTCAGGCCGTTGAGGGCAAGAAGGACTCCATCGTCAATGGTGTTGGCTCCGGGGTACTGCAGGATATGTATAATTAGTGGGCTGCCTTATGGTGCAGGGGGCAAGAGGTTAGGGGGCTTGGGTGTAAGATTGTGCGTACGTTCATATGGCCACCACCCTTGACAGCGAACTGGGCCTTGCAGGTGGAGAGGATCTCCACGCCCTTAGCGACATCGTCGGCAGTTGAAGGGAGATAGATGCAGGCCGGATGAAGGCTGGCTCTCTTGTCCCAGACGTTGATGCGCTGGGTCTCGTACGCCGTCGAATTGGAGAAGAGCGTAGAGTTAGGAGAATGGCTGCTCAAACCAGTACAAGCGCACTTGACGTTGTCGGAGACCAGGAGGTCTCGGCGGCCGAAGACGGACTTGGTAGCCGAGGCAGAGTTAACCAGCAGAAGAGCTGGGAGAGCAAGAGAATACAACATGGCTGTGACTGACTGTCGATCGAAGTGCGGAAGGATAGGCTTGTTGGAGCGAGTGATTGGGGGTGAATGGTCAAGCATTTCGAGACCGACATGAGAATGAATTCACCAAGTATTTATCTGTCTCGAGGGAGGTTCTCCTGAATAGCCTTGCCACTCTTGTTCCTCGGTGCAACCCCCTTTACAACAAAATGACACCCTCTCCGCTACTGTCTCTACGATCTTCCTCAGTGACTACAACATGGTGCTCCATCATGATGATCCGCTACGAAAGTCTCAATCGCAATCGGTCTCGCTCTGTGGCTTGCAGCTTTTGAAGATGCTCAGCCTTGTAGGTGGAATCCATCAAAAAGATCCATTGCGGATTTCGTCACTCAAAGTCCACTCAAGGCTTCGACCAAGATAGTCTGGTCGAGTTTACGCTACTTGTTAGTCGACGATACGTAACACGCCAGTCCGCCATAGCCGTCTTCGTCAGCGAACCACTAAACCCTTGCCACTTACCTTAGCTACCTTGCCCTACTATCAGTTGAACCGGCCCGAAGAGATACGGCATTGCGGTTCCACAGATGGGTTCGCCTGATGGACCCAGATGAGGCGTTTCCCGCGAGGCCATGCTGTATGCTCCAGCCCTAGTGTGCCATCTTAAGTTCCTACCCCGGATCACTAGTCCGAGGAGATTTGACAGTGCCACCTCATCATTCCGCCGTCAAAGCGATGGGACGAAAGTGTTTTTTCTCATTGACGGAAATAAAGTGTGGTACTTGCTTCTTTCCCACCTTACATAGTAAACAATGTGCTCTCTTTCCATGACGATTTACTTAACGGAGTAGAATGTGTTCCAGACCTTGGCCTTGCCCTGCAAACCACCCCTGACGTTTCCAGCCACACCTGCGTCAGAGCGTGGTGTTCCGCTCGCTCTCGCTTTCGGCGATGGGGCCCCCTTCGAACGCTTGCGCATGAAGACGAGCGGAGATCTGTGCGAGTCTTTTGGAGTTGAGTGGAATTGGTGTAGATCTGCTTCCGCATACCCACTCTTTTGTTCTACGTGTATTCCTTTACGTGGATCCGTATCCAAGTTTACCATGTGAAGAGAGTACGTGTATCCGTATTTGTTATTTCAATCATTCCATCGTGGCTTATCGAAATACCCACCTAAAGCAAACGCATCGTGAACTGCGGATTCTACGATTGCAACTTGAGTACATTATCCCAGGTTCTCCCCTCACGTTACTGTTCGGCACGTCTGTCTCTGCCAACTTCAGCCCGAGAATCTCGGCAAATCAAAGTATTGCCGAGTGAGGCAATGGCTGCCTTGGCTCGTATGCGCGAACAGCATATCAAACATTTCCTTCGGTTGTGTTCGTGCTTGGTCAAGTACGGTCTATGACTGGAGACATTTCTTCAAGCGTTGACCGTTCTTTAGAACGCCTGTCTCTTAGATAAATCATTTCAGATGAAAGGCACTACGCAAAATCCTGCTAGGTGACATTGAAGTTCTACGGCACGGTTTCATCGGTTTAAAGTTTGCTCCTACAGCAGTCAAACGCATCGACACATTGTATCGCGCGATATGGGTGCTGTGGCTTGACGTTCGGACATTTTTTAGACTTTCCAGACCCCGGTGATTCCGCAATAACTGTAAATTAACCACAACCACCTATGTGATGCAGGAGACCTCATCTCCTTCAACCTGTCCCGGATTTACTCGAGATCTTATCCCGAGTCCTTCTTTCCATTGACGGCAGCTATGAACGCCACTGTCAATCAAACTTGGACTGAGGCAATGGCTGAGCTAAGACTACGGCCCACAGTCACACCGAGCAGCACTCTTCTACCTCACTCACTGACCGCGAAAGGGTGGTTAGCATGTCTTGTTCTGTCGCTTTTGGACGGGCTTCTCGACAGGGTCCTTCGATATCAGCAAAAGGATCCTGCGCGTCGGGCGCGGGATGAGAGGCGAAGACGACGGCTGGGAGTCTGGGAGGAGAGGCATCACAGCGGGCTTGAAAAGCTTCACGAAACGCTGTGTGATCTGGATATCCCGGAGGTAGACCTCAATACGGTCGACATGCATGAATGGTTGGATTACGCATTTCAAAAATCATCATGAGACTCAGCGTTCTCATCTGAGACATCTTGATCCCGAACCGAGGCGAAAGGTCCTTCTTCGAGCCCGGAAAAACTACCTTCCAAGTATGTAACCTAGGGAAGAGTAACCGACTGCAAAGCTTCTTTGGATTATTTCGCTGCGAATGAGAGTCTCTCTGACTGAGAGCACGTTTGCGAGCTTGAAGACTACAAGGTAGCTATGGTATCTCATGTTCCATGCCCACGAGTTTCCTACCGCCTGCTAATCATTGAGATGTCATTACGAGCAGGGGTCGATGCGGAACACATCAATTTGTTGCTCGCCGGGGAAACAGTGAGATAATTCAGTGTCCGCCCGCTGAGCATTCACCAAAGAATCTCGGCGTTCTCAAAGAATAGCGTCTGGTATCGGCGCGAGATTCAGGCTAGCTGGAACGGAGAAGTAAGGAGACTATTCAGGATTGCTTGACAGCATGGCTCGATCACTATCAATAGGCACTCACTACCCTATGCGTTGATTGTGAGGGAAATGAAACGTTAATAGAACTACGGCATCATTTTCGGGGTTCTGTTTATATACAGAAGGAGACGCTCCGATATTGTCCCGCGTGGCGTATAATATCAAGATGGAACAAAGAAGAACGAGATCCAATTTACCTCTAGAAACTGAGATACTTGGCACAGAAGATGGCCTGTTGAGAGCTCAGGTCCCGTTCGTTGATATTTACTCGCTCATTCTTCATCTCCTCGAATCTTCAACGTGGTCTAGGGATATTTCAGGCTGGCACTTGAAATCTCCCGCATCTTGCTCTAGCTAATCCAGCTCCGGACCTTTCTTTCCTGGACTGATAATCTCGTCCCCGGACCCAGTAGCCACCTCCTTAAGTGATAAGAAGCGAGTCTCGGGCAGGAACAAGAAGTAGATGGTCCCCGCAAAAGCGTTGCAGGCGACAAAGACGAAGTAAAACTTCCACTCGATGGCATCAAACGCTGCTGATACCGCGTAAGATAACCAAATTGCCGTAACAGCTTGTGTAAAGACTGAGAAGCCAACACCGACGCCACGGAGGTCGAGTGGAAAGATCTCTGCTACCAAGAGCCAATTGACACTGTTGACGAAGAAGGAGTACGCAACCGCGAACAAGAAGATGAACGCAACACTGGCACGGGATCCAGCTGGGTTCGAGTCATCTTGGAAAAGTTTCGATAAGGCCGTCAAAACTGCGAGGAGGACAGCGAGCGTGAAACTCCCGGAAATGACAGTGTTGCGTCGCCTCCAGTGGTCGGCGACAAAGAAGACGTTGATTATCTGACCGTTGACTGCCATGAAGCCGTACAAACCGCCTGTCAGGTCCACAGTTTGGCCCTCGTACCCAAGAGAGTTATACATGACTGACTGGTAATTTTGGATGATGTTTGACCCAGAAAGCTTCCTCATATGGACTATTAAGCAGGCTAACAAGGTTCTGCGGATGTACTGGCATGTGAACAGGTTCCAGAAGTTGGAAACTTTCTTCTTGTTGGCTTCGAGTTGAATTTCGCTGATCATTTCAGCGAACTCTTACTGTATCGTTTTCGCACCCCGGTGGGCGTGATGCGAGTACATAATCTTCTTGGCGTCATCGTATCGCTCTCTCACGGCCACTATCGGCTTTCTGTTAGTATCCAGGCCTCATTCCAAAGAACTTTGCCTACGAACCGGTAAGTGACAGTGTAGAGACTTGCGCCATCGCGGAAAGTAGGGCAAGAAAAGAGTCGTGACAGCGAGACGGAGTGCAGGCGGCATCTGCGTGGCCAAAGGAACACGCCACTGCAGTTCACTAACAGCAAACGAGCCCGCATAACCCACCCATCCAGCAACGAAGAATCCGAGAGTGTGCATCAATCCTTTCGAGCCAACAAGAAATCCGCGGTTCTCTGTAGGGCTGAGCTCCGCAAGATACACAGGGGCCGTCGGGTAGACCATACCCGTCGAGAATCCTGAGAAAGCACAAACCACAATCGTCATGGCTGGGTTCACGGCGGCGGTCTGCAGCACTGCTCCTGCGGCACCAATACACGCTTCAAAGAGCAATGTTGTCACGAGTTATGGCACGCAGCAATGGGCATACGGAGTGTGGTAAAAGTGGCTTAACATATTAAAGTAGAAATAGACAAAAGGAAAAGGTCTATATACACGATGTCTGAGATAGACACGTGATTCAGCACGTGACGGGCACTTCGTGAGATGCGGTTACTATCCCTGTTACGTGACAAATGTCCAGCGACGGGACATCTTGTCCATGCTGTAGGCAGAGCCACCGCTGCCAACGGCGTATCCTGCGTAATGTCCAGTTTCAATGCCTGCTCGCACAGAAACGTTGTCTATAGATGGGCCGTACATGTATAATTTGAAGGTGGTCTAAGCGATGGTTGAAGCAATGATACCTGTGTCGATGCCGTACACGAATCTGGGCGGCACTTGGCGTTAGCCTTAACACAAAGCTAGATTCCTTTAAAGTAGACCTACCCAGCAAGACTGATCGGTAATCCAATCAAAATCGACCTAGCCGAGTTTACACGATGGCCAGCCCTCTGTTTCACCATCTTGCGCACAATGCAATGCCCAGACGGTGCGAGATTGAGGAGATCGAAGATGTCGTTCACAATGGCGTACCTGTAGAGCAGTCTGAGGTTCTCTTTTCCAAGGCAGGCTCTCAGAGTGGAGTTTAAAAAACAGAAAGAACTTTACCAAACATCTGTTTACAGACAGACGCAGACGCGGTCTCAGCTGGGGTGACAAAAAAGACTGCAAGTTAATGATTGTACTACTAGGTAGGTCGTTCAGGCATTTATAAGACTTTGCCAAAACAATAAAGTCCTTCTGGCATCTGGCATGTTCGTGCAGTTCTATTGTTAGCGAGAGGAGTAAGATGTTGAGTCTCTCCGCATATCCGCATCCCCACGATGGAGCTGTAGGATCTGTTCTTCCCCCGCAATCATACACGATGTCTTGCTCATCTCAGCTTGTTTGCACATCTCGGACTGTCATCGAATTCTCCGAAGTCCCGGTCAAGGCAGGGGATCCCGAAATGACGGAGACCATACCATTTGGTTCAGACCATCCGCGGATGAGTCGGGGACCTCCTCTGGCATCAGCTGACTTTCGTGCGAGATCAGTCCAATCTGAGAGATGAGCAACAAGTGACCCCTCGACATGTAGGGACAGTTCGTTCGAGGATCAAGAGCTCTTGTCTTTCTAAGGCAATAGATTATGAAAAGTGTTAACTGAGCTTTGACACTTCCTTTGATTAGTCCCACTTCACGTCCTATGCTTTTCTGTAAACTTGACCTTAACTTCAAACCACCGTACAGCACGCTGTAGGCTCATGTATATTTCAATATGCTAACCAAGGACCGATTTTGCTCCCGAGGTATTCTCATCCTACTTACCTTATTAAGAGGCGTTTCACTATAAAAGACTCGAAGACACCCCTTGCAAGTTGTGTATTTACAATTTTCGCAGGGAGGTTAGTTCCAAAAGAATGAGCACTGAAGTTGTGTCATCATTTATTGTATCAGAGGCTTTTGGATTCCTAGGTCTAATCGAGAAGGTGCATGCAGTCATGAGGTAATAATGAATCTACCATTTTGGAACGTTTGGAGAGAATTCAGGGTGGAACTTTCTCATATACGTTGTGTCATCGCGTTTCCGCAGCCCACAATCCAGGTAGAGTTGATGAAGATGCGCCAACTTCTTCCTGTCTAGCTCAACTCCCAAGCCAGGCGCGGTCGGAACGTTCAAACCACCATCAGACCACTTGAGTACTCCATCAACGACGACATCCTCATCCCGTGGTTTCCATGGCCAATGAGTATCACAAGCATAGTCCAAATTTGGAGTAGCCGACGCAAGATGAGTCATGGCCGCAAGTGATATGCCCAGATGGCTATTCGAGTGCATCGAAAGACGCATTCCCCAAGTCGCGCAGATGGCAGCCAGAGTCTGAGACTTGCGCAGGCCACCCCAGAAGTGGTGATCAGAGAGCACCACTTGGACTGCGTTCTGCAGAATTGATGTGGGCAAGTGAGAAAATGCGACTACGGCCATGTTTGTCGCCAACGGCATCGACGCTGCTTTCGCAACAGCAGCCATGCCTTCGATTTCTGGAGCCGGGTCTTCCAGGTATTCGACGATCCCTTCGAGTTCCTTCGCAACCCATTTTGAGGTCTCGACAGTCCAGGCGGCATTGGGGTCGAGTCTAAGAGGCACACCCGGAAAAGCCGCATGCAATCTTTTGATTGCTTCCACCTCTTGCGCGGGTGGATAGACGCCGCCTTTCAACTTGATCGCTTTGAAACCGTACTCGTCAATGATTTTTTTCGCCTGCTTTACCACACCAGCAGGGTCAAGAGCCGCGCCGTATTCGTCGTCTGGCTGTCCAGGGTGCCCCGCCCACTTGTAAAAGAGGTATGCCGAATACTGGACGTTATCTCTAACGCGGCCGCCGAGAAGGTCGCTCACAGGTACTCCTGCAAGCTTTCCCTGGATGTCGAGACACGCAACTTCAAAGGGGGAGAAAACCTTGTCCGCAACGGAGGCAGTAGTCACCATGCCTGCCATTCCGTCGCCGCCTGTGCTGGTGTCGCCTGTCAAGGACTCGACGCATAGCTGGTATATGGAGTTTGTTTCGTACACAGTGAGGCCCTTAATTTTGTCGGCCGCAAGTTGGAGACGGCCCAGGTGTGTTGAGTCTCCGTACGATTCCCCCAATCCGTAACCGTCATCTGTGATAACTTCGATGATGCTGCGTAGTGCAAATGGCTCATGTACACCAACGCTATTTAGCAGTGGCATGTCATGAAATGCCACTGGTGTAATGACGATATCCCGAATAGTCCCACGTCGAGACATGATAGCTGCATGTGGTTTTAGGTTCACCTTCCTTTGTCTGTTTATGGCTGCTTCGTTGCTGTAATTGAACGCAAATCGTGAGATTAGGGATGTTTTTAACGTCACCAACTGAATCGAACTGTAGCGCTTGAAGATTCGGCCATCTAATAGGTGACTACGCGGGGTACGATTTGTAGGATAAGTGTGCCATTCGAAGGACAATAATCCGTATGCGGGGTGGAACGCCGCCTTTTCCGCGGATGTTGGAGTACGACTAGGATCGGCAGACGTCCGACATCCGAGGGAGGGGGCATCCTTGGGCCCAAAGACGGAAAAGTGCATCCGAGTTGAATCATCGATAACAACTATTCAGGGTTTGACAGAAGTGATTCCGAACCTCTTGTGTATCTAGTCTATCCGAGGAAGCAATAGATGAATCGCCGATCGCATCATTGTCCCGGACTCGACTGGCAACTGATGCCGCAGAATCGAACAGGCCGCAAAAAGGGTCTGAGGAGATCCTGCGCCTCCATGAGTAAACAGAGCCTGCGATCAGTGCAAATCGCTAGTCTACAACGGAATGGTGTGTCGAGTCTTGTTGTACAATGGCTAACGTCTAATATGCTGGCTTCAGTCGCAAGACACCATGCTCTGGGACATGGCCGTGCGTCTTTTGCGCAGAGTTCAATCTAGATTGTCAATTCACCGCAGCCTATAGACGAGGTCAACTTCTTTCAGTTATTGATAACGATGCCGTGAATCTCGAAAGGCAGAATTTTATAGAGGGTGCGAACTCAACCCTTGCTGAAAAGATCGCGGGCGGAGAATGCTCCAGTGCCTGTGTTCATCAGAGTTCATTTGTCGCAACAATTCCTAGTAGTTCAACTGTAATCTCAAGAACTGCTATTGAATCGCCAATTACATTTCAATCCCCGCCTCTCTTCAAAGATGGGGAGATCACAAATGTCCCTCGCGGTACTATGGATATTGACCACCTCCCGCGCATCCCCGATACGAACTCGTTGAGAAACTCGCCAGAACCACCACAAACAAATGAACAAGGCCATTATATAGGCCCTACATCAGGTGTTTCTTTTCTCTCTCGGATACACAAAAGACTGAAAGTGCAATCTTCTGGATATTTGAACTCGTCGGTCTTCAACTTCGGGGATCGTCCATTGCCTGGACAAGGCTCTTCGTTTGCGATTTTGCCGCCAAAGACTGTTGCAGAATCGATGGTTAATATCTCAGCGTTGCTTTGGGGCGTCCAATGACTTTCCATGATGAAGACATTGATCAGCAATTGCCGCTTTCCGTTGACGATGATCAGCTGCGCCCAGGCTGTGGGATGGACTCAACAGAAAGTGGTCCTCCGATTACATCAGCCCCAGTTGCGCAATTCAAGTAGGTATTCAAAATCCCATGGTTTTGCTTGAACTAGGTTTCCGCCAAAATCAAGGAAGCTACGGTCAATCACTAAGAGTACTAGGCCCTCAAGGATAGTAGCCAGGGTTATACGAAGCCTTTATGGCATCAAATCTGTTTCAACTGAGGAGCACCTCACACCTGCTGCAAGGTTCAATCAAGACTTGTCCGAATGGCGAGAGCCAATTTCCTACCTTCTTGACACGGTCGGATCTTCAGCCTTGTATGTCAAGCTGGTCCTTAGCCAAAGCGACCTGCTCCAGCTCGCCTTTTCGCACGCCCAGATACTTGTTCACAGACCATTCCTCATTAATTCCCTTAATAGCCTCTCTGGGCATGTTCAAGAAAATGGCAGTGGGCGGTTGAGGCATGAGGAGATTCGGAAAAATGTTCAGCTTTGCTTGGACGCCGCCACAAAGATCACGAAGCACGTCAACTACATCAACGAAGCCGGCGAGCTCTACAGTACGTTGTTTGTAAGTTGCTGTTTTCTGTTTGGGAATGAAACTTAGTACTTCACACGCTCACACACATGAGATCGTCCCGTATTACGGATTCAGTGCAGTGGTTATACTCTACGTTTTCGCAACCCAGCGACGTACCGAGACACCAGAGACCTGCATGGATTGCTTCCGTCTTGCTTCTCAATGACATGCTCAGATTGGGAGTATTGCAACCAATGGATCACTTATGCAGCGCTACGGTGTTGTCCTCCAAGAATTGCACCTCAAGGTCCTGCGGAACAACACGTGTCTCGCGCCTATCTCAAATCCCCGAGCTGGAAATTGTTTGACATCAAATGAGAACAATGAGATCCTTCCTGTGCCATACCGGAGGTCTCAATTACGTCCTGGGGGTGGTACCAGTGGATTGAGACTTGCTGTTGAATAAGCTGCCGAGGGCGCGCCTTTCTGCCGATCCTTTCCGTGCTTTTCACGTCGGACTCTTCAACATGATAAACTGGGCACAATCGGATTCACTGGTAAATAACATTTCTAACATAATACTGCTAGACTAAACACGCCTCACATGATGCTTTCCTACCCCATGGGTCACAGGTGGGACTGGAAATTCTGATGCGTTGGTTCACGACGACTCCGCCGATCTTTGGGGCCACGGCAGCGACGTAAGGCTCAATTCCTGAAGCGTATACTCGTCCCCAAGCCGCCAGGTTTTAGAGAGATTCCTTACTCAACTTCGGAGGCAGTATCAATCGAGAGAACGGTGGTGTCCGGGAAAGGGAGATACCTGGTGCTTGGTGGCGGGAATACCGTGCTCAGATCATCTGTGTTGAGGGAAAGCGTCGCAAAAGTCGTGTCGACATGAGGCCACCGTCAAGCCCCGTTGACTAGGGTGTAAGAGGCCCGCATTCCCCGCTTTTTGACTAACTGAGGCCGGGTGCCTCGCATCTGTTCATGCGGGGTGATGGTCCCACGGAGACCGGCCGGAGTCGATTGTCACGGGTAAAGACTTCCTAGGAATGCCTTTTTGTATCTACACCTTTTCGTCAAGTCGCAATTGAACAGGAACATGCTTGCCATGTTCAGAGAACGACAAAGCACATTACTTCGGGCCCCGGCTTTCCCGAATGCAAGAACATCTACCTCCAATATGTGCCAAGAGGGCTACTGGAGGCAGATAGGTAGTTCGACGCGCTAAGAATCCTTCCAACTCATCACGTCTGAACAGGGGAATATGAAGTCCAAGACCCCCACAAGTTGAAGTTGGCAAGCTCATCATTCTCAAGTCGGAAGTGACTACTTTCATATACTAACCTACAAAAGTAAGTACGTAACGTAGGTACTAAGTCGGTGCGAGGAATCAAGGTTTTGAGTCCTGGCTTACATCTACTCGCGATTCGTCACGCTGTTCGAGCCTTTTCCGCCTTAGCCAATTATTTGAGCACTGATCGAATATGCATTATATATGTTGCAAGTGCTGCACGGCAGCTTTTGACTGATCTCAAAATTTGAACGTATAAGTGATACCCAGCATTCATGGTGTTCACAGCTGCCTGGACCAGTTCATTGACCGGCGCCGTGTTCTGTGGAACCCCGAATTTCGCTTCTCAGGAGGAGAAGGTTTTCCACATGGCCTCGAGTCGCATACCTCAACTATGCATGCCTGCACCCGGTGTGGATACGCCTCATCGACACTATGACCTTGCTCTCACGTTGGATCTGACTCTCCCAGCTGGATGGCTCGCCATAGTGCGACGGACAGTTTCGTCCCAATGAACAGGGTCACCGCTCATAAGAGCCATCAGACAGTCAACGGGATTTTTTAAGTCACTCGCAGGGGTTGTTACGCGGCATGCCAAGGTACGCCATGCCGCCATCGACCAGCTTCATCGTTCAGTTGTTCAAGAAGCCGGGGCACTCGGAGCCGATTAGCCAGCCACCCCCATACTGTGTACTGGATCGCCAGGCGGGAGCTAAACGGCTTTCGCCATGCCTGCCATACCCCCTCCAATCATGAAGCGCCTCGGGAATCCGGTTTAATTTCCTAGCGAGAACGCTACCCCCAAACTGCCGGACTGAACCCGGATTCCGCAGCGGACCGGCGCCTCTCATGTGATCGACCTGGGGAATCGCGCGGTCTGGGGTAAGCCAACTTCGGGGAAGAAAGGAAATGCGGGGATAGCTCAGGTGTTCTTCCGTGCTAAAGTGAACCCACGGATGTGGATACGCGACGGGCGTGATGCCAGAGTCAGTCTGACAGGCCACTTGCGCCGGCTTGGCTGCTGCGCTGCTGGTCTTGGGTGACGGAGTGGTTTGGTTGCAGCCGAGGAATTGAGAAGTTTGGAACCGAACCATTGAGCTGCGCAAGCATAGACGTATATAAGCGCGATATCGCGTCTGCGTCGATCGCGGGGAAGTGACTGGATTCCCCATGTCCCCCAGACTCTAGAGATCTAATATTCGAATCGGACTGGCCCTCAAGTACCCAGACACCGACATCCTTGCCGAGAATTGACTGCCAGAATGGCTGAGCCAACGAAACGGACCTATTCCGGCGACGACGAGAAGCGGGACCTCGCCAGCAGCGATGTCATGGAAGACGCGCCTCCCACTGTAGTGGCAGCCGTTGCTGCACACGAGATCGCGCACGAGGTGGAAGATGGCAAATACTCCCCTTGGACGAAATCCATGTTCAACCTCTATGGGGTGCTGTTTGTGGCGTACTGCTGCGGTGCCCTCAACGGATATGTAAGCTTGCCTTGACTTTGCGGAATAATATTGACCTGCATCATTGACAGAATGCAACAGGATGGATCACTCATGGGATCGCTCAACGGAATGACATCCTACCAACGAACTTTTGATATGTGAGTACTCCGTGGTAGCAACGCTTGGTGGAGAGAAGTAGGCTGATACAGGAGCAGGAAAACCTCGGGCTCTTCGACCGGCATCGTGTTCATGATGTACAATGTCGGATCGGTCTGTGCCATCCTCTTCACGGGACCCGTCAATGACCTTCTTGGCCGACGCTGGGGCATGTTTACCGGCGCTTTGCTCATCATTGTAAGTCAATGAGATATGGGCATCCCCACCCTTTACCTAAGACGGACTTTGCTGACAGGTATCCTAGATCGGCACTTGCATCCAGTAAGGCGAACCAATTATTTGAGCTTTCAATTGGAGCACTGAATTTCTATCTAGGGCTACTGCAAACCACATCCCTCAGTTCTTAGGTGGACGTTTCGTTTTGGGCTTTGGCGTGTCATTCTGTTGTGTCTCTGCTCCAACCTACGTGAGCGAGCTTGCTCACCCTAAGGTAAGTCGAATCTTGAGAATTGCCGATGAAGTTACATTGACGATTTGTGAAACAGTGGAGAGGTACCCTGACTGGATTGTATAACTGCATGTGGTGAGAACCCTTGAAGACTTTAGTGAATCAACATCTTCCATTGAGCTAACAACATGATAGGCCTGTTGGAGCTTTCATTGCAGGCTGGGTAAGCAATTACAATGTCGGAAGAGCTTGATTCCTTTCGACAGTATACTGATTTCGGTCAAACAGGTTGCCTATGGCGCTTCTTTCATCCCCGGAGACGGCGGCTGGCGTCTTCCCGTCTGGTGTCAATTGGTCACATCCGGAATCGTTGTCGCTTTTGTGTTCTTCTTGCCAGAAAGTGTAAGCAGCCAACTTCATCCCAAGGTCAACGCTTCAACTAACCTTAAACTCAATAGCCCAGATGGCTTGTGGCCAACGACCGACATGAAGAGGCAGCAAAGATTCTGACTCAGCTCCACGGTGAAAAAGATCCCAACCATCCGATTGTGCAATTGCAGATGAAGGAAATGATGGCCCAAATCTCGAACGAGGCTAGTGATAAGAAGTGGTGGGATTACCACGAGTTGTGGAACACCCACTCCGCTCGGAGAAGACTGATTTGCGTCTTGGGTATGGCCATCATGGGACAGGTAAGACCTTCTAAGCCGCTGTAACACCGACATTGCGATTGGATCTGATGTTTATCTTCACCAGGCTTCCGGAAATTCTCTGTCCAGCTACTATCTCGTGACAATGATGAACACAGCCGGAATCACCGACGAAAAGAAGGTCCTAGCCCTCAACGCAGTTAACAGCATTCTCGGCCTTCTTGGTAGTGTTATCGGCGCCCGCCTAACCGACCGCGTAGGCCGACGACCTTTGCTCATCTACAGCATTCTTTTCTGCTCCGTCACTTTCGCCGTTATCACCGGTACATCCAAGATGGCCGTCGATGACCCGAGCAACACCAACGCTGCCAATACCACCATCGCCTTCGTCTTCCTGTTTGGTGTCGTATTTTCTCTGGGCTGGACAGCTCAGCAGAGCATGTACATTGCCGAGACTCTCAGCACCTCCACTCGTGCCAAAGGAACTGCGGTCGGCAATTTCGCCTCCTCGGCTATCTCGCTGGTGCTTGCTTACAGTTCTGGCCCTGCATTTGAGAAGATTGGCTACTACTTTTACCTTGTCTTCGTCTTTTGGTGCGTTACTCATCAGTCAAAGACATTAGAGTTCCATTTGTCAATTCTAACCTTTATTTTAGGGATATCTTGGAGGCAATCTTCATCTACTTCTTCTTCCCGGAGACTAACCACAGAACGCTGGAAGAGCTTGAGGAGGTGTTTTCCGCGCCTAACCCCGTCAAGAAGAGTTTGGAGCCTCGTTCCGCATCAACCGTGTTGGAGACCATGAAGGTTCCTAATGAGAAGTTTGTAGAGGCCTAAATTAACGAATGTCTGATGACGAAACTGGTGGTTCCTCGGGAACTCAGAGGCAAAAAGAAGTGTAGTTCGAGTCCCAATACAGCTCTTGCAGTAAATTTATGAGTTCTTGACTTGAACAACTCTCTTCTGCGCATAATTAAATAGTTATCCCAAGTATCCTTGCTCAAAAAGAGGCAGATTGGTTTTTAATAAGTTACCCTCGGTGTTGGTTACTGGGCGTCGGTTTGGGATGTGGGTTGGCGGATATGCATCGGCTTTCTCACCGATATCGTCATCCTGCTGGGAATAACGTGCGGGGGTTCACATCGCACCGGAATACTTCTGTTTATCTGGATACTTCATGCTGTTAATCCGCATGAGCACATAATGAGCGCTTGCAAATTACCAGTCATCAATGACTGTCTCGGAACTTCTCTCATCGATATAGGTCGGCATTTTAAAACTTTGGTCTCACCAAGGATTCATCACCAACCAATTCTTATTTCGGCAAACAACGTCCGGAGATATCTCTTCCACGGCTGTTCACGGATTTTGAATTCCCAGGAGCATCCTCAGACAATGGCTGAAAATAGGCCCATCGTCCTCCGCCTTGGCGAGGATGTCAAATACAACCACGATTACTACCAGAATGTATTCACAGACCGATTCACCGTTGTCCCCAACGAGGAA